CCATTTTTTGCCAATTACGGGTTTCACCCCACGTTTTTACCTGACCCGATTCCTGAAAGCCCAGTCCCTGCTACGCAAAATATGCTGTTTTTTTTTCTGCCAATAACAAGGTGCTTCAAGAAGCTGTTGCAAAGGCCCAGGAGGACAGCAAAAGGGCTTTCGACAGAAGAAGAGCTGAACTAAGCCTGCAATCGGGGGACCAGGTCTCGCTAGACTCTACCAATATGAGGATGTCTTCTCCTTTGAAAAAACTGGGGCCGAAATTTAAGGGTCCATTCCGGGTGAAGCGGAAAATCAATGTAGTGGCGTATGAACTGGCACTTCCAGGAACTTTTAAGATTCACCCAGTTTTCCATGTGTTGCTACTGAAGCCAGCAGTGCCAGATCCCTTCCCGGACCGAAGGTCCAGACCTCCGGAGGCCATAACCATTAATGAACAAGAAGAATTTGAGGTTGAAGCAATCATAGATTGCAGGAAAAGAGGCGGCCAGACACAGTTCCTGATTAAGTGGAAGGACTATGGTCCTGAGGAGAATTCGTGGGAGCCGGCCCAGAATGTTCACGCCCCTAGAATTGTCCGGGAGTTCTATCGTAGCCACCCATGGAGGAGAGATTGGTTGGGCATCCGGAGGATGCCCGTGGGGGGGAGCAATGTCAGGGATTGCGGCAGCATGCGGGTGTGCGCATGTGCAGAACGCCGATTCATTCTATCCGGCGGGCACTAGGACCTGGGCAGTGGTGGCCGCGCATGTACACTCGCGATCGCGGATGCTCGCCTGGCACCAATGACAGGGCACAGTATTTAAACCTGCCCTGCACAGACTCTCATTGCCGTATGGTCTTATATCCTGTGTTCCTGTGTATCTGCTGATTGACTTGTTACCAACCCTGCCTGATCTTGACCTCTGCTGACTTCTCCTGATCCTGACCTCTGCTGACTTCTCCTGATCCTGACCTCTGCTGACTTCTCCTGATCCTGACCTCTGCTGACTTCTCCTGATCCTGACCTCTGCTGACTTCTCCTGCTCTGACCTCTGGCTCATTTGACTTCTCTCCTGGATATCCCTATTTGATCTGACCTCCTGTTACTGAACCCGGCGAGTGACCCGACAACTCTTTGCCTGCTGCCTTGTACTACGTTGACCCCACTGTTACCGATCTGGCCCCCATCTGACCACGCTCACTACTTCTGCCATCCATCCTGCACAGATCCAGTCATCACGGCTCCAGCCTTCCGCCTCTTCGCGTCAGGCTCTCTACCTGCATATACCTCTGGCAGATCCCTCTACCACGGGCAGGTGTACTCAGGGGCCGCAACCTAGTCACTGTCTGCTCCAAGTCCATCCCCACCATCAGGGGCCCTGGTGAACAAGCAGACTGGGACTTAGACTCCACGCTCCTGGGAATCCTGTCCTGTGGATTGCTAGAAATACCGCCAGGAGGTGTTTGACAGGGACAGTGGTGGAGAAGAATCTGATGAGGGTCAATGGTGGAGAAGAATCTGTGAGGAATCAATGGTGGAGAAGGATCTGTGAGGAATCAATGGTGGAGAAGGATCTGTGAGGAATCAATGGTGGTGAAGGAGGGCTGGGGGGGTCAATGGTGGAGAAGGGGGGGGTCAATGGTGGAGAAGGATCTGGGGGGGGGGGGTAAATGGTGGAGAAGGATCTGGGGGGGGGGGGGGTCAATGGTGGAGAAGGAAGGGGGGGGGGGTCAATGGTGGAGAAGGATCGGGGGGGGGGGGGTCAATGGTGGAGAAGGATCGGGGGGGGGGGGGGGGGGGGGGGTCAATGGTGGAGAAGGATCGGGGGGGGGGGGGGGGGTCAATGGTGGAGAAGGATCGGGGGGGGGTCAATGGTGGAGAAGGATCGGGGGGGGGGGGGGTCAATATTGGAGAAGGATCGGGGGGGGGGGGTCAATGGTGGAGAAGGATCGGGGGGGGGGGGGGGGTCAATGGTGGAGAAGGATCTGGGGGAATCAATGGTGAAGGATCTGGGAGGATCAATGGTGGAGAATCGGGGGGGTTCTGGTAGATTACATGCAATGCAAAGCTACGGGTTCTAAAGCAAGCAAAATCCTCTCTTGTATTAGGAGAGGTATAGACTCCAGAGAGAGAGATATCCCCCCCCCCCCCCCGAGTACAAATCATTAGTAAGACCTCATCTGGGAATATGCAGTTCAGTTTTGGGCTCCAATTCACAAAAAGAACATTGGGGAACTAGAGAAGGTACAGAGAAGGGCAACCAAACTGATACGAGGCATGGAGGAGATCAGCTATGATGAGGAGAGATTAGAGGAACTGAATGTATTCTCTACTGAGAAGAGGAGATTAAGGGGGGATATGATCTCCACGTATAATACATAAGGGGGGGGGGATATGATCTCCATGTATAATACATAAGGGGGGATATGATCTCCATGTATAATACATAAGGGGGGATATGATCTCCATGTATAATACATAAGGGGGGATATGATCTCCATGTATAATACATAAGGGGATATGATCTCCATGTATAATACATAAGGGGGGATATGATCTCCATGTATAATACATAAGGGGGGGGATATGATCTCCATGTATAATACATAAGGGGGGATATGATCTCCATGTATAATACATAAGGGGGGATATGATCTGTATAATACATAAGGGGGGATATGATCTCCATGTATAATACATAAGGGGGGATATGATCTCCATGTATAATACATAAGGGGGGATATGATCTCCATGTATAATACATAAGGGGGGGGATATGATCTCCATGTATAATACATAAGGGGGGGATATGATCTCCATGTATAATACATAGGGGGGGATATGATCTCCATGTATAATACATAAGGGGGGATATGATCTCCATGTATAATACATAAGGGGGGGATATGATCTCCATGTATAATACATAAGGGGGGGATATGATCTCCATGTATAATACATAAGGGGGGATATGATCTCCATGTATAATACATAAGGGGGGGATATGATCTCCATGTATAATACATAAGGGGGGATATGATCTCCATGTATAATACATAAGGGGGGATATGATCTCCATGTATAATACATAAGGGGGGATATGATCTCCATGTATAATACATAAGGGGGGATATGATCTCCATGTATAATACATAAGGGGGGATATGATCTCCATGTATAATACATAAGGGGGGATATGATCTCCATGTATAATACATAAGGGGGGGGGATATGATCTCCATGTATAATACATAAGGGGGGATATGATCTCCATGTATAATACATAAGGGGGATATGATCTCCATGTATAATACATAAGGGGGGATATGATCTCCATGTATAATACATAAGGGGGGATATGATCTCCATGTATAATACATAAGGGGGGATATGATCTCCATGTATAATACATAAGGGGGGATATGATCTCCATGTATAATACATAAGGGGGGATATGATCTCCATGTATAATACATAAGGGGGGGATATGATCTCCATGTATAATACATAAGGGGGGGATATGATCTCCATGTATAATACATAAGGGGGGATAGGGGGATATGATCTCCATGTATAATACATAAGGGGGGGATATGATCTCCATGTATAATACATAAGGGGGGATATGATCTCCATGTATAATACATAAGGGGGGATATGATCTCCATGTATAATACATAATACATAAGGGGGATATGATCTCCATGTATAATACATAAGGGGGGATATGATCTCCATGTATAATACATAAGGGGGGATATGATCTCCATGTATAATACATAAGGGGGATATGATCTCCATGTATAATACATAAGGGGGATATGATCTCCATGTATAATACATAAGGGGGGATATGATCTCCATGTATAATACATAAGGGGGGGGATATGATCTCCATGTATAATACATAAGGGGGGGATATGATCTCCATGTATAATACATAAGGGGGATATGATCTCCATGTATAATACATAAGGGGGGATATGATCTCCATGTATAATACATAAAGGGGGGATATGATGTATAATACATAAGGGGGGATATGATCTCCATGTATAATACATAAGGGGGGATATGATCTCCATGTATAATACATAAGGGGGGGATATGATCTCCATGTATAATACATAAGGGGGGATATGATCTCCATGTATAATATGATCTCTCCATGTATAATACATAGGGGGGATATGATCTCCATGTATAATACATAAGGGGGATATGATCACCATGTATAATACATAAGGGGGATATGAGCTCCATGTATAATACAAAAGGGGGGGGATATGATCTCCATGTATAATACCTAAGGGGGGGTTGCTGTAGGAAAGTCCTGGATTCTTTCTTGGATACACAGAATATAACTGGATATAACATTTATAGGGAAAGTTGATCCAGGGAATATCCGATTGCCTCTCGGGGGATCAGGAAGGAATTTTTTCCCCTGCAGGAGCAGATTGGATTGTGCTTTGCTGGGTTTTTGCTTCTTCTGGTGGATCAGCTGTCGGTGTCGGATTATAACTTTTATTTTTAATGGTACAACTAGATGGAATGTCTTTTTTCAGCCAGACTAACTATGTAACTATGTAGGTCCCACACCGCTGCCTCCCATCTCCTGAGACTGCACTCAGTGACTTGGGTCTGAGACACTACAGACATATCCCTCCACCCGGCACAGGTGACAAATACTGGGAGAATTGCTATGTCACCACCATGAGGAATAAGATCAAAAGCACATGTCCAGGGCACCTAGGTCTAGTAATGTCTATGGTGAAAATGAACATTTTGCTGCCAGCTGAACCCCAGAACCTCCATAAATCCAGTCTAGATACATAAAATTGTGTCTGCAGCACAAAGGAAGATTATCCGAGAGAAATCCAGGAATACAGGACGGGGAACACAGCTCAGGAAAGTGACCAGGGGATTACAGGCTGATATCACCCCCCCCCCCCGCCCTACTCTGGACCAATCAGTGAGCAGTATGGGTGGAGGAATGGATTTAGTGTTCATGACCCACCTGTGCTGATCTCTGTAGGAGTGTCCTCCTCTATAAATGTCCCCGTTATTCCATCCTCCTCCATAGACTGCTGATCATCCCTCACATACGCCTCTTCTTCTTCTGCTTTCACCTCAAATTCTATATCGATTGGATCTCCACTCTAAATCAAGGAAATGAGAGAAAATATCAGCTAAAAAAATCCACACATCATCTCTACAAGTCCATGTTCTAGATGCTCCGCCCCACCAACCTTGTAATACTGAGGGATGGTGTGACCTTCCTGTGTGGAATCCCGGGAATACAGAGGACGGGGACATCTCTCTGGTGGGTTCCTGGTATTAGGTGGCTCCATCATATCCTTGTGTCCTTCTGAAAACTCCTCCATCACTCCATACTCCTCATCCTCCTCTTTATACTCTTCTTTAACATCAATATTATCATCCCCGAGGATTCCACTCTGAACATTCAAAAGTAAATTCAATGTAACAAACACCCTTGAGGAACAATCACTAATAGTTATGATTTATACACATCTACCTGATGATGTTCTGCATAGTTGTGATCTTCCTGTGTGGAATTTCGGGAATACAGAGGAAAGGGACATCTCTCTGGTAGGTTCCCATGACTGGATCCATCTGTAGGAAACACACACACTGACTGAATCCATTGTTTCTATGTGTTTATCAGATGATGGGGGATCTAGGTGGATCCTCCGTACTGCTCTCTCCTTTACAATAAAGTCTCCTCTTACCCGGTGATGTGAGGGGCGGCTGATTGTCCATCATGACGTCCTTGTAGAGGTCCTTGTGTCCTTCTAAATATTGAGTATCATCATCTGCTGGAGATAAAAGACGTCACAGTGACCATGGAGGAAGAGGACGGACATGACTATGGAGGCAGAGGATGGAGAGGACTATGGAGGCAGAGGACGGACATGATGGGGGGTTACTGGGTGTAAATAGAACATAACATCTTATTACCGTTTTATGACTGTAGCCTGTGTCTGGTCTGTTTGAGAATCATCCCCCATATTCATCTGATCCTTATCAGTTCCTAATTGGGGAGGAGATGAGTGCTCATTTGGCCATCTCCCTATAAATTTAAATCAGCTGTTGGGGGAGATCACGGATGGGGGGGCAGTCACAGTCACTGATGGGGGGGGAGATCACTGATGGGGGGGGGGGGGCACAGTCACTGATGGGGGTGCTGCTTTTCAGTGAGTGCTGCGTTGATGGAGTGCTAAGAAGCAGTTGAACTAAAGCAGGAGAACTCAAGCAGAAGGAAGATACAAGTAACTCTCCTGCATGCTGGACAGACTGCAAGCAAACACCCCAGAAAACATCTCTTACAAGTCTGAGTCCCACTCCGTGTACCTTTCATATGTCCCCTCTACTCCTCCTTTTCATATTACTTTCCTGCATTCCCAAAATCTCACTTCTTAACCCCTCTGCTCCACCCCAAAACATGTACATCTCCCCCACACTGGCATGAGGGAAGGGACTGATGATTGTGTTATTGATCTTGATGGAGAAGTCGGGGGGGGGGGGGCATGGGCTGGAGGGAATACTAAGAGCTCAGTTTTGGAAAGATTGAGTTTGAGGAAGTGGAGTGACATCCATGCCGATATGTCACTTAGTAGGTTAGTAATGTGAGAGGAGACTGAAGGGGTGAGGTGAGGAGAAGACTGAAGGGTTGAGGTGAGGAGGAGACTGAAGGGGTGAGGTGAGGAGGAGACTGAAGGGGTGAGGTGAGGAGGAGACTGAAGGGGTGAGGTGAGGAGGAGACTGAGGGGTGAGGTGAGGAGGAGGTGAAGGGGTGAGGTGAGGAGGAGACTGAAGGGGTGAGGTGAGGAGGAGACTGAAGGGGGTGAGGGGTGAGGTGAGGAGAGACTGAAGGGGTGAGGTGAGGGGTAGAAAGATAGATTTGTGTGTGTGTCATCAGCATAGAGATGTTACTTAAAGCCATGGGAGTTTATCAAGTGACCAAGGGAGGAGGTGTAGATGGAGGATAGGGTCCAAGGACAGAACCTTGAGAGACCCCTACAGAGAGAGGGAGTAAAGAGGAGGAGGCAGAGTTATAGGTAACACTGAAGGAGCGCTGTGATAGGAAGGAGGAGAACTAGGAGAGAGCAGAGTCTAGGAGGCCAAGAGAGTGGAGTTTTTTTAAGGAGGAGGGGGTGGTCAACCGTATCAAAAGCCGTAGAGAGAGGTCAAGTAGTAAGAGTACAGAGTGGTGGCCCTTGGCTGGGATGAGTACGGAGTGGTGGCCCTTGGCTGGGATGAGTACGGAGTGGTGGCCATTGGCTGGGATGAGTACGGAGTGGTGGCCCTTGGCTGGGATGAGTACGGAGTGGTGAGTACGGTGGTGGCCTGGGATGAGTACGGAGTGGTGGCCCTTGGCTGGGATGAGTACGGGTGGGATGAGTACGGAGTGGTGGCCCTTGGCTGGGATGAGTACGGAGTGGTGGCCCTTGGCTGGGATGAGTACGGGAGTGGTGGCCCTTGGCTGGGGATGAGTACGGAGTGGTGGCCCTTGGCTGGGATGAGTACGGAGTGGTGGCCCTTGGCTGGGATGAGTACGGAGTGGTGGCCCTTGGCTGGGATGAGTGAGTACGGAGTGGTGGCCCTTGGCTGGGATGAGTACGGAGTGGTGGCCATTGGCTGGGATGAGTACGGAGTGGTGGCCATTGGCTGGGATGAGTACGGAGTGGTGGGCCCTTGGCTGGGATGAGTACGGAGTGGTGGCCATTGGCTGGGATGAGTACGGAGTGGTGGCCCTTGGCTGGGATGAGTACGGAGTGGTGGCCCTTGGCTGGGATGAGTACGGAGTGGTGGCCCTTACGGAGTACGGGGGCCATTGGCTGGGATGAGTACGGAGTGGTGGCCCTTGGCTGGGATGAGTACGGAGTGGTGGCCCTTGGCTGGGATGAGTACGGAGTGGTGGCCCTTGGCTGGGATGAGTACGGAGTGGTGGCCCTTGGCTGGGATGAGTACGGAGTGAGTGGTGGCCCTTGGCTGGGATGAGTACGGAGTGGTGGCCCTTGGCTGGGATGAGGTGGCCCTTGGCTGGGATGAGTACGGAGTGGTGGCCCTTGGCTGGGATGAGTACGGAGTGGTGGCCCTTGGCTGGGGATGAGTACGGAGTGGTGGCCCTTGGCTGGGATGAGTACGGAGTGGTGGCCCTTGGCTGGGATGAGTACGGAGTGGTGGCCCTTGGCTGGGATGAGTACGGAGTGGTGGCCCTTGGCTGGGATGAGTACGGAGTGGTGGCCCTTGGCTGGGATGAGTACGGAGTGGTGGCCCTTGGCTGGGATGAGTACTGGGAGTGGTGGCCCTTGGCTGGGATGAGTACGGCCCTTGGCTGGGTGGCCCGGAGTGGTGGCCTTGGCTGGGATGAGTACGGAGTGGTGGCCCATTGGCTGGGATGAGTACGGAGTGGTGGCCATTGGCTGGGATGAGTACGGGAGTGGTGGCCATTGGCTGGGATGAGTACGGAGTGGTGGCCATTGGCTGGGGATGAGTACGGAGTGGTGGCCATTGGTTGGTACGGAGTGAGTGGCCCGGCTGGGATGAGTAGTGGTGGCCATTGGCTGGGATGAGTCCGGAGTAGTGGTGGCCATTGGCTGGGGTGAGTCCGGAGTGGGCCATTGGTGGCCATACGGAGTGGTGGTTGGGGTGAGTCCGGAGTAGTGGCCATTGGTTGGGGTGAGTCCGGAGTAGTGGCCATTGGTTGGGGTGAGTCCGGAGTAGTGGCCATTGGTTGGGGTGAGTCCGGAGTAGTGGCCATTTGGGGTGAGGGTGGTGGCCATTCCTGGGGTGAGTCCAGAGTAGTGGCCATTGGTTGGGGTGAGTCCGGAGTTGGGGTGAGCCATTGGTTGGGGGTGAGTCCAGAGTAGTGGCCAGTGAGTCCAGAGTAGTGGCCATTGGTGGGGTGGTCCATTGGTTGGGGTGAGTCCAGAGTAGTGGCCATTGGTTGGGGTGAGTCCAGAGTAGTGGCCATTGGTTGGGGTGAGTCCAGAGTAGTGGCCATTGGTTGGCCATTGGTTGGGGTGAGTCCAGAGTAGTGGCCATTGGTTGGGGTGAGTCCAGAGTAGTGGCCATTGGTTGGGGTGAGTCCAGAGTAGTGGCCATTGGTTGGGGTGAGTCCGGAGTAGTGGCCATTGGTTGGGGTGAGTCCAGAGTAGTGGCCATTGGTTGGGGTGAGTCCAGAGTAGTGGCCATTGGTTGGGGTGAGTCCGGAGTAGTGGCCATTGGTTGGGGTGAGTCCGGAGTAGTGGCCATTGGTTGGGGTGAGTCCGGAGTAGTGGCCATTGGTTGGGGTGAGTCCGGAGTAGTGGCCATTGGTTGGGGTGAGTCCGGAGTAGTGGCCATTGGTTGGGGTGAGTCCGGAGTAGTGGCCATTGGTTGGGGTGAGTCCGGAGTAGTCCGGAGTAGTGGCCATTGGTTGGGGTGAGTCCGGAGTAGTGGCCATTGGTTGGGGTGAGTCCGGAGTAGTGGCCATTGGTTGGGGTGAGTCCGGAGTAGTGGCCATTGGTTGGGATGAGTACGGAGTAGTGGTCATTGGTTGGGATTGGTGCGGAGTAGTGGCCATTGGTTTTAGCAGTTAGTAGATCATTAGTGAGTTTTAGGAGGGCGGTGTTAGTGGAGTGTAGTGAGTGAAAGCCAGACTGTAAAGGGTGAAGAAGGTTGTTGTCGGTGAGGTGGGAGCTCAGGCGATTGTAGACTAAGCGTTCTAGGAGTTTAGAGGTAAATGGCAGCAGGGAGATGGGTCTTAAGTTGTTCAGGTTGGTGGGGTCCAGGGAGGGCTTGTTAAGTATGGGAGTGATGTGCGCATGCTTTAGAGGGGAGGGGAAGGCACCAGTAGAGAGGGAGAGATTGAAGATGTGAGTGAGGGAGCATAGGATGGAAGAAGAGGGTGACTGTAGTAGTTGTGTGAGGGGACAGGATCCAGGGGGCAGGTAGTGAGATGGACTTCTGAGAAGACCTTAGTGACCTCTTCAGTAGTAGCGAGGTCAGAAGAGGAAATGTTGAGGGAGGTTTAGTATAAGGTATGCTAAGTGGGATGGATGTCTGTGCAGTGGAGATGCCCCTACAAATTGCATCAATCTTGTTTTTGAAATATTTTGCAATCTCATAAGCAGTGGGTGAGGTACTGGGTGGAGGTGGAGAAAGTAGAGAGTTAAAAGCAGAGAAGAGATGATAAGGACTGGATGACAAGGTATTATTGATGAGAGTGACAAAGTCGTCTTGTTTGGCAGCATGGAGGGAGGAATTGTATGTGAAGAAAGCAGATTTATATCGGGTGAACGCTTGCTGAGATTTGGATTTACACCACAATCGCTCCAGCGCACGACTGTCTCTTAAGATGTCTGGTGTGGTCAGTCTACCAGGGATGTAATGGTCGGGGCCTGATGCTTCGTGTTGTTAGGGGAGCAAGGGAGTCTAATGTTGATGACAGTGAACTGTTGTAGACAGCAGAGGGCAGGTCAGGGCAGGACAGGGGAGAGATTCTGTCATAGAGTTGGTCAGTTGCAGAGTGGAAAGGAGCCGGGTTCAAGTTGTGAAGGTTTCTGCAGGTAATTGTTGGCTGCTTGGAGGGATAGGTGTTTGAAGACGAGGAGACTGTGAAGGTGATGAGATTGTGATCAGAGAGAGGAAAGGGGGTGTTTGTGAGGTTGTAGGGAGTGCAAAGATGGGAGAAAACAAGGTCTAATGTATTCCCATCAGAGTGAGTGGAGGACGGTATACATTGTGCTAATGCAAGAGATGAGGTTATGTTGAAGAGT